TATATACCTGATTGGATTGGCACTGTCTGTAAAAACTAGCACGCGCACATGCGTAGACTCGCGCAGACGGCCCAAAGGATCAGTGGACGCAATCAACATCGCATTCTTTGGGTTGGTAATAAGCACACACGGCCATATATCTTGGTGGCAATCTGGCATAGAATAAAAATCACTTGCGGTGAGAAAACAAAGCGCATTGTTGGAAATCAGTACGCATGGGCCATACATCTTGGTGGATGTCTGGTGAAGAATGAAGATGAAATAATGTACCAGTGCGAAAACAAGGCGTGTAGTTCATTGCACCTACTGTTATGAGGTCTGCACGCATAGGTCAACTTGTGGTAAGCTGAACTAGTGTATAATGGTTTAGTGTGAATTGCAGGATAGTATTAAAACAGACCGAGCGTAAGTCACTCAGCGCAAGTGGCTCCGCCACCACGATGAGGTACACAACAAGGTAACTTGACCACGGATACGAACATAACACACCCACAACACACCTTCTCAGAGATAACCCGAACAATCATGGAAGCAAGCGAACCCAACAGGCCACAACACACACACACAGGGCCAACTCACCAAACCCTAAACTCTAAACCCTAAACACAATCCCTAAAACCCTAAAACAGGACACAGGGCCTACTCACCCATGAATGAGAACAGATCATTGTCAAACGCAGCAACGCGGTAGATGTCGTGCTCTTCGAAGGTGTCTAGGATTAGCAGCTTAGTCTCGTGCCCGGGTATTGGTCGGATGTAGGTAGATCCTCTCCCCGCGTGCCCTGACAGCCACGCTGAGACGTTGTTGGCTTCTAAGAGATCGCCAAAGGTGTTGTCCTGGCTGGTTTAGCCAGAGAGACAAGGGTGCGGATGGTATGGGCGTTAGAGAGTAGCCGGAACGCGGATATTATTACAGAAGAATCCATATACACGTGTATATCTATAGATATATAAATTGTCAGAAGAATTCATATACACATGTATATCTATAGGTATATATACTGTCAGAATAATCTATATACACGTTTTTATCTATAGGTATATATATTGCCAGAAGAATCCATATACACGTGTATATCTAAAGGTATATATATTGCCAGAAGAATCCATATATACGTGTATATCTATAGATATATAAATTGTCAGAAGAATCCATATACACGTGTATATCTATAGATATATATATTGTCAGAAGAATCCATATACACGTGTATATCTAAAGATATATATATTGTTGATTACAGAAGAATCCATATACACGTGTATATCTATAGATATATATATTGTTAAATACAGAAGAATCCATATACACGTGTATTTCTATAGATATATATATTGTTGATTACAGAAGAATCCATATACACGTGTATATCTATAGATATATATATTGTTGATTACAGAAGAATCCATATACACGTGTATATCTAGAGATATATATATTGTTGATTACAGAAGAATCCATATACAGGTGTATTTCTATAGGTATATATATTGTCGTAATTGAAAGAGGTCTCTGTAGTGGTTTTTTTCCTTCTGGAAACCTCCACCACACCGCAGTGCCCGTGGCTCCAGTATTGACTGCAGGTGAATGGCTGGATTATATCGCACGTCTTAGCAACCGACAATCAGTACATACACAAACAATGGCCCACTGACGTAGCCGACTCGTTGAGAAAATATCGAATATACCTACCTGGAAGACTACAAAAATAGAAATATACTTACCTGGAAGATTATGAAAATAGAATATACCTACCTGGAAGATTACGAAAACAAAATATACCTACTTGGAAGACTACAAAAATAGAATATACATACCTGGAAGATTACGAAAACAAAATATACCTACTTGGAAGACTACAAAAATAGAATATACATACCTGGAAGATTGCGTGAGCATGAAGGCATTCGACGCAAACCCGTAGTGTGAGGCGACAATAGAGCCGTTCACAGACTGACCGACTGAGTCTTGCAGCGTGGCCTCTAATTGATCAAGTACTGCGACAGGTAACACAGGCGCATGCGATTGTGAGTGCAACGCTGAGGCTGGGATTGGGACTGATCGTATAACATATTGGAGTGCTAATAAACCAAAGTGCAAGCTAAAGCTTGTAATGGTATCGATTCTATAATGTATTTGAGTGCTGGTTTAACACAACGTAACGCGGCTTTAAATTCCGTACAGCTAGAAAAAGCTGAGTACAACGCTACGTCTGAGTATCTTCAAGATTTCGATTCAGGGTCTTATATGTTACATACATACATACATACATATAAACATACATACATACATACATACATACATACATACATACATATGTACATACATACATACATACATACATACATACATACATACATACATACATACATACATACAAACATACATACATACATACATACACACACACATACATACATACATACATACATGTTACAAGATCTTCTATGCTACATACTTAATACAGCGCGTAGAACCATATAGGCATACGTCGGTGCAGTAAACAGGCCACATATACGAATGCACATCAATTTGCTTGCAGATAATATGTACTAGTACGCCCATCACTCCAGACCACAGAACACACTGAGGGTATATTGATAAGCTGTTGCTATACACATACTATCTCTAGCCGGAAACCCGAGGTAGTTGTAGGGTAGACTCAACCCAGGGAACTGCACAAAATCAACATTAATCAGCTGCATATGGCCGGAAAAATAGTGAAATTTTTGGTGAAAATGTTTGGGAAATTGGATCAGCAATAAGATTCAGGACAGCCGAAAGGCAAAGCGGTTTAGGGAGGCAACATAAGGACTAGGTGAATACACTAATCAGCTGTGTATGGCAGTAGAAAGTTAGATTTTGGGGGAAGGTACGGGAAATTGGATCAGCAACGATATTCAGGAATTTCGAAGTGGAAGGTGGTTTAGGGAGACAAAATAGTGACTGAGAGAATCAGTCCGATATCGTTTTAGTATCACCCTACACAACACTCAACTATACGTATGCGATCACCCGATGTAAAAGCCACCACACCACTACCACAGACGACACAACACAACACATAGCAATGAATTTATCCCCACACACAACACACAACTATGCAACTATACACGTACAAGCGTGCTGTGGTTGTCGGATTACTAGTTTCTAGTACAACCTATATATATAT